TCGGCCTCGTATTCACTGATTTGACTTCTGGGATTCCAGCCAACTTCTCACGTTTTGTTACGAACCTCCCTGCCTACCACCGGATACTTGTTTTCGTGTGTGTGAAATCGGTGCCTGTCCCTTTTGTTCCCCCAGCTGAGAGGTACCTCGTAGGCCGTGTTGGTCCTGCAGCTCATCGTTCCTATAGATGCATTGTCCGTTATGGTTACCGTGATGTTCACCAGGATGTTGACTCCTTTGAATCCGAACTTGTCAGTAGGCTGGCTGATTTCATCCGGTATGATTGGTACAAGGCACATGGAATCATGGAGACATGCAACGAGGATGACTGCTCACGTTCTGGTGCATCGTCAGGAGAATGTAGACTGACCGTTATAGGAACTCTAGATTTGTCATGCGCACCAGCTTTTGAAGTCGAAGAAACCATGCAGCCTGCAAGCGTGTCTGTGGGTTTTCCTACAGTTGAAAGTGTAACGGATGTGATAGAGATGCAAGCAGTGGAAAGAAGGGTGAGATTTGCGATAGATGACGAGTCGGAAGTGGATTCACGGGACGTAATGGATTGTCAGCTGCAGGGAGAGCTAGAAGATTTATACACAGCACAACAAGCAGGTACAGCATTTGTGCTAGGACATTCACACGTGAAAGCAAAACAAGGATCATCTGTGTTGAAGAGGTTGGCTATAAATTATGGTTATAATTTCCTTAGGAGGAATTGCAGAGGTGCAGATGTATCCCTTAAAGTTCCTCCAGCATCCCTTCTTGAAGTTGGCATGGTCTACATTGTTTAGTTATATATATATATATATATCATTTTTTCACTTTACTTTACTCCTATAGCTATGTAACTTATTAGGACCTTCTTTAGTGAGGTAAATATAATTATTATGCAGATTACTGAAGTTTATCGTATGGTTTTTCTTATCTATTCAAATTTTGATGCATCATTCTCGAGATAAATATCAGACTAACTGAAAATAATTTAACAAATTAAATGATAAGTAATATTGTTACTACTTAATATTGGACAATTAAAAAGAGAAGCAAAATACCACATGAAAGGTGACTGGTCAAAGATTGTTTAGAGACCAGGAATAATATTATTGGAAAATATATTTTAGTAAGGAATTTAAGTTGTCAGCCAAAAGCCACGTCATACGTTATGAACCACCAATTATGCTACTGGCCCTGCATTTTCTATTCTATTATTAAAATAAAACAATATTCTCATATAAAGGCGTGTAGCTTCAAAGTAATTAATTACGCCTCAAATTCATACAATATAATGGGGCTTAGGGCTATTCCCTTTTCACCTTCTCAAAATTATTATTTGAGTGGTTCAGAATATTTGCCCAAATGCAGTGTTCTTGGTAGCAGCAGAACTGGCTCATCAAAACTAGTACTAACAATTTCAGCAAAGGCTAAAAAAGATGACGCACAAGAAGAAGAAGAAGAACCAAAAAACAAGAGGAAACAATCGTTGTTTTCAAGTGTAACTGAAGCTCTTGATTTTTCTCAAGTTAGATCTGCAAAGGATGCTGAGCTTCTTGATGAAGCAAGAGAAAAAACTCAATCTGGAGAGAGAATGTCTAAAGAACAGGTTAATTCTTATTTCTATAACGCATTATACAGTTATTAAAGCATGTATTAATAATACTCTTTCGTCTTCTGGTAGTTAATTTAGAAAGTAAATTATTCAGATACAAAATAAATAGTGTAATTGGTGAAGCTCACATAACTAACTAATATATGACTACCTACATAAAAAAAATATATATATATATATATAAATTTCCTCGTACATAACTAAGTTACTAATATTTGCATAATTTTTATCAGCTACCAAACGACATTATGGTCACCCTTATGTCAGGTTGTTCAATTGGACACCCTTCGTCATATGAGTAAAATAATAATAAAGTGATTAAATACCATATTTTGAACACCATTGACATAACAATATGATGTATTCTAATGGTTTTAAGTGTCTTGAAAGAGTAAAGACACACAAAATTAATGTGTTTGTATGTTCAAATCTCATTACTAGCCAAAAAAATTCCACTTTTTAAGAAGAGCATGTTCACTTGAACACTTTTGGACACTCTTAATGAAATTTCTGGCTCTGCCAATGAACAACGCTAACAGTATATGTTAATGAAGTTGTGTATTAGTACTTGTTTACTTATGAAGACGACTCTTTTTGTAGTATGGAGCTCTTAGAAGGAAGATTGGTGGAACATACAAAGATTTCTTCAAGTCCTATGTTGAAGGTAATTATATAATAAACTCCTAATTAATTATATTATGTAATGATCTATCTATGGCTTTAATTAATTAACTACTCTTTTTGTTTTTTTGGGAACAAATTAAATTAATAGTGGATGGACAATATGTGGAGGAGGGATGGGTAGACAAAACATGCAAGGTTTGCAAGAAAGATACAAGTGGAGAAGCAAGACAAGTTGACAAAATGGGACGATATGCGCACGTAGCTTGTCTACAAAAATCCAACCCTGGAAATTTCTTCACCAAGCTCTTCTCAAGATGAATTTTATAGTATATATCCTCCTCATATATATGAATGAACTCCACAGAATATAATAGCCTTGGCCATTTTGTGTTTTTCTTTTTTTCTTGACTCAATCATGAATGTCATCAATTGGTGTTAGCTTCTTGAACAGAGTTATTCAACTATATTGTGTATTCAGAGGCGAATAGAGCTATGATTTTTTGAACTTTATGAATTCTCAATTTAGAATCATGAATCGTGATAATTTTAAGTGGTAACAATTGAGTTTTAATTTCTTTTATTAACTTTTCACGTGAAGTTATATCTCTTTGTTCGATAATAAATATGGGGTTAGTCGCTTCATATTTTCTCGTTTGTCTTTTATTTTTTCTATTTTCTATTTTGATTTTTGAAATTTTATAATAATAACTCAGTAATTCTGAAGGTCTGTATAATCAATTGAACTAGATATTTATAGTATTATACAACGATAACATTGAGAGTCCAAAAATCGATAGTAAGTCTTGCAATTGTAAGTGTTCAAAGGTAAAATATTTAAGTTCACTTCAAAGTATCTGAATATTCATTTGTTTCCTTTTTTTTGTTATTTTAATAAATGATGGACCAGATTATTTATATTACTTTTTTTTGGGTAAAAAAATATGTCCATGAATAAAACTAACATCATTCTTTCACAAGTGAGGAGACCCTTGTCCGACTTTTCACTAGGAGTGGCAAAATCAAATACAACCCACTCCATCCATTTAGATTTGGATTGGTTATTCATCCACTCATTTGTTAGCTCAACTCATTTCATTTCATTTAAAATGGATTGATATGTTACCCAAATCGATTAAAAATGGCTACTATCAATTTAATCTAAGAATGAGACTCCATTTGTTTTTAAAAAAATGACATATTTTGACTTGACACAGAATTTAAGAAAATAAAGAAGTTTTTTAAATTTGTGCCCCTAAATTAAAGTTATGTCAAATGTACAAAAATATCTTTTAATCTTATGAACTGAAACACGTCACGTGGAAAATTAAAATCAAAATATTACGAAAAAAAAAGATATAATTTTTCTTAAACAAACTAAAAGAAATTGGTCATTCGAGAGTAGTTTTTACGCATCAATTTCTCAAAATTAAATGATGGAAAAATTGTATAAAATAGCAAATTATTAATTCAAATTAAATGTTATAACCACAGTTTGATTTAATTGTAACCGGTAGCAAACAGTTGTCGTTTGTCTCTCTCCCTGAAATTCTCGCTTGCCACTTTCATTTTCTCGTTGACAGTCTCTCCCTCGCCTCTCTCACTTTTTTATTAACACAAATGTATTAAATGTATTTGAGTAAAGTGAGAAAAAACTATATATACACATATCTTTTTGTTTGCCTCTCTCCACAGAGAATCTAGCCACTCTCCCAAGTCTCGCTCTCCACTCTCACTTTATTCAAACAAAAATGTATAAATTGTGTTTGTGTTTGTATAAATCGAGAGAAAATTGTATGTACAAATACAAATACAAATATATATATTTGTATCCTATACACTTTTAATTATACAAATACATATATTTGTATCCTATATACTTATAATTATACAAATGCAGATCTTTTCGTGCCCAGTTTTCTTTCGTCTTTCTCTCTCGCGCTTTATACAAACACAAATTATACAATTAATTTTTGTATATGCATACCTAAACATATTATACAGTTGATTCTTTTTGTATATGTATACCAAAATATACATATTAATAGCCATAGCAAACCGCCCAATTATACAAAATATAGTCATAACATACAAATATAGTTTTATAGGAAAACTTACATAAATATACTATAGTAAAAAAATATTTACTATTTATAGCGATATCAATTTTATTTATTTGATCACTTTTAATTCATTTATAATACAAGTTTAATATATATTACAAAGAACAATTTATTATTCACATATAATACAAGTTTTAATGATGGTTAATACATTTATCACACATTTTAATACACTTATAATACAATGTGTCAAATTTTTACCAAACAAATATAATGTATTTAAAAAAATAATTACAATTCATAATAAATTGCATACATTATTCACTTTTAATATATATTGCACAATATTGCTATAAAGATAATAAATAAAAGTATCGCTAAATCAGTAATTATTTATTAAAGTGTATCAATTTATGTAATTTTTTGATTTTTATATTTGCTAAATGTATAATTAAATAATGGATTATCCTGAGAAATATATGTTAGGTTCGGCCGGAGTGCATAATGGTTCTATAAAGCCCAATCCAAATTTGGGGCCCGAAATTTATAACTGGACTTAAACCCAACTGGCCAAATTGGCGGAAAACCTCATAACTTGGCGGGAAATGGCAGCTACTTAGATAAGTTATAGCTTAGCCAGCAACTGCCATTTCTCCTTCAACCCTAACTCACTCTCTACTTTCCTTTTTCTCCGGCGAATACAATCAACAATGATGGGACTCGCTTACGATTGCCTACTAAATCCACAGAGAGCTATCCGAATGACATTTCAAAATGAGATTCTAAAGCCTCTGATCCAGCCGCCTTCGACGGCAAGGACTGGGGCGCTATTGATCTATTCAGGAAGTTTCTCTATGACGATGGCGGCCTTTCTCAGTTTTTTCTCTTAAAATTCCACTCAGTTCTATTATTTTATTTTTAGAAGGGTAGTTGATTAGTAGTATTATCTTGTTTTTATAGGTTCGAGTTCTGAATCCTGCATCTATAGCACGATTGAAATCCAATAATCTTGTTCGATTTCGGGGAATGATTCAAGATATGCTTGGAAATGAATTGTATGTTGGCATGTACAAGGTATAATATCATTTTTGTGCCTTCTTTCTCACTTACAGAGTACCTATGTCTTCGTTACAAAATTTTTTTTTAATGTTGTGATTCAAGGATGGAGAAACTTGGAGAACGAATAAGTTTGGTGAATTCTTTCAATTACCTATGGCTATAGGATCTTCACCTGACATGCGAGCGTGGGAGCAGCGATTACTTTACTGTATTCCTGTGAGTCTTGAAAACCTTGTTACTTTCTTGTATATCCACTAGACATACTTCCATTACTTCTTACAATTAATGATAAATTATTTTTTTTATAAAAATAGTATCTGATACTAAATTAGAGATAGTCTGCTTCTCGATTTCCTGTCTTACCTTATCAAATAAGAAACCCTATTTACTTTTGTTTTGATTCTTGAGAAACACAATTTAATAATCGATTTTCTGGTGTTGCTTTAGATTCTAAGGCAGAATTCATGGATTGAATATTCCTCTAAACCCCTACCCAATCCAAGTTCAGAATCCTCATCTCCACAAAGGGAGAAATGCCATAGGGAGGTTGATACAACAATGGATGACATTGATATGCAAGTATGTTCCATTTGTTTGTCTTGATGTACCCAAGTTAAACTTTTGCTAGTATAATCAACTAGTTGACTAATAGGCATATTCACATAAGGCGTTTTAATTATTTGTTTATTGATAGGTCACAAATGAGGAGGTTCAAGCTTCCACCTCCAATAAAAAGATGGTATATCACACTGAGTTCATCATTACTTCTCTCTTACTCTATTCAACTAGCAAGCACTATCTTTACTTGACTTGAAAATTGTGGATGTAAACTTCTGATCTTGTTGGTTGCTCTTAGTGGTTCATCGCATTGCTATCCATCAACATCTAATTAAGCTTCTTGATTTTGTGTTAATACAACAACGTGAGAATGGGATCGCTTCCAATTCATCCAATCTAGGGGACACTCCAACTGCTAACGTTGGTTCAGCTACGAGTGTGCTTCCATATTTTGACAGAACTTCTTTGTCATGTCTTCTTAAGGTAAATCTTGAGTTGTTAGTTTAAGCTGAAGTTTGCGTGTGCACCTCATATGCTAAAATGTTACCGGTGTATTTGTAATCTTACAGATATATGACTCTCCTGAATCTGATTTAAATCTAAATGATTTTTTTGAGTTCATTGGTGTCTTAACATTTGATACGGAGTTTTCGGTAGACAAAAATGTTGACAATGATTTTATGGGATATTTGGGTTATGATGATACACAAACTCAAATGCCTCCAACCAAGGTATTTTTCTTGTAACGTATTTTATTAGTTGAGGTCTTCTTTAATTATATGGACTAAGATTTAGGGTGTCAGAATTGTAGACCAATTATCGTTATCTATCACTGTGCCTTTGGTACTTTTTTTTTGGTAAACGACCCTTGTGGTGGGTTAGGGGCTGAGCAACACCCCCAGGCCTTATCATTTATTATAATAAAAAAGATACATGAAGGGGGACATAAACCTTACCTCGTATCCTATGGTGGGTATATAGTTGATTTACCTACTAAGGTTTATCAACTTAACCACATACAATGTGATGTAATCTAATAAAATTAGCACCTAGAGAGGACTCCTCTCATAATACAAAGTTTCTAAGAATACATGAATAAGGGAGACTCTCCCATTACAAGAAAAGTTATTAAAAAAGATACCTATTCAACTACCTATAATTGAACAGATTTTTACTCAATTCATGTCATTACTCCATTATTGTCTTGTTGAATACTATGGAGGCTGTTTAATTCTCTTCAACTTTCTTCTTCTGAATAATTGCATTCCCATTTTTTCCAATATGTAACTTCCTCTAATTGCTCCAACTAGTTGTTGTGTCATGTAAAAATATTGTATAATATCCAGCTTGTGACTCCATTTAGCTAACAGATCGGCAGTACCATTTGCTTCCCTATAGACATGCTTGCATTGAAAGTATTTCATCTTGTTTTGAGTTCTTGGATTTGTTGGACTGCTTGTTTACATCTCCAAGGAATACATATTGTATTAGTTATCCATTTACTCAATAGTTCAGAATCTACTTCCAAAATAATATACTTGTAACCATGTTGATCACACGAGTTGAGTCCATACAAGGCAGCTTTGATCTCTGCAAAATTGTTAGTTCCAAAACCAAGAGGAATAGCAAAAGCATAAATAAATTTACCTTAATGATCCCTTAATATTCCCCCTCCACCTATTTGACCAGAATTGTGTAATGCACTTCCATCGGTGTTTAGTTTGCATAAGCCTATTGCTGGCTTTTCCCAACTTACCTTGGTTACCTTAAGTTGTTGCTGACAGTGATCAGCAAGGCTGATCAAACTGTCCAAGCTAGGCTACCATGGAATGTTAGGATAAGTTATATGTATGACCTGCATGATATCTTTAAAAATAGCATATTCCAATCTTTGTATACTTGATTTTTTGCCCCCATATTTAATAGCACACCTGTTTTTCCACAAATTTCAACAAATAAAGTTAGGTAAAATGTGAAAAATCAGTTTTTGTACCTCATTATGTACTGGCAGGCTTCTCCAATGCAGTAACAAGCTTCTTAAATTTGTATTTCCATTTTCTGCTCCAATTTTGGCTGCATGAATTCTCCAAATATATTTAGCAAAGTTTCCTGTAATTAATATATGATTGATATCATCTTTTCCTTTCCTGTAACAGCAATAACAATCAGACTCAGCTTTTTCAAATTTCATCAAACTATCATTTGTTGGTAATTTACCCCTCAAAGCTTTCCAAATAAAGAAAGAAACTTTGAAGGGAACATTCTTATGCCACACACACTCATTAATAGGGTCTATAGACTTTTTCTTCTTAATTACTTCCCATGCTAAAGTTAGAGTAAATTGTCCCTTTTCCTCAGGCATCCAGTTTGCAGCATCTGGAGTTCTCTCTTTAAATTGGAAACTTGTGTTCAGAATAATAGGAACCAACAATGGAGGAACTTGTTGTCTAACCTCCCTCTCTTTCCATTTACTAGATTCTAAAAAATCAGAAACTTGAGCATTGTTCAAACTAGTCACATCACAGTACTTTGCTAAAGCTCCCTTTCCTAACCAATTATCCCACCATAAACTACAATTCCCTGAATAAATCTGCCAATTAATATGTTTTTCCACTTCTTGTCTATTTCTAGTAAGATATATCCAAATTAATGAATCCCCTGAATTATATTTCTTAGCAACAATATTAGCTTTTTGACAATACTTTGCTTTTAAAAATTTACTCCACAAAGACTGTTTAGTTCTAAGCTCCCACCATTGTTTATATTGAAAAGATATATACACATACTCTAACAATCTTACACCTATGCCACCTTCATTAGTAGGATATGCTAAAGTTTCCCATGCAGCCCAATGATAATTCTTCCTTTATTTATCACTGCCCCAAAAGAAATCAGCAATTATTTTTTTATATATATTTGAGGGTAGTCTTAGGAGGGGATGTAGCTGCTAGAGTGTGAATAAGATTTAATTGTAACACGTGCTTCACAAGAGTAATTTTGCCACCTAAATTTAAGATTTTTGCTTGCCAACCTGCTATTCTTTTAATCACTTTATCCACTTAAGCATAATAGTATATGATTCTTTGACCCCCAATATATAATGGACATCCTAAATATATAATAGAGTTGTGTTTCATACTGAAACCAGTTTCTTGCTTAATAATGTCTATAATATCCTGCTTGGTATTTGTAGTTACCATGAAATAGTTTTCTCCTTGTTCAATTATTGATCAGACACCATTTCATAATAAACAATAGTCCTCATGATAAGTTGTAAGGAACTTTTCTCAGTGGAAGTAAATATGATAATATCATCTGCAAAACTTAAATGATTAATTTGTGGCCCTCTACCTTCCCTGTAAAAACCTCTATACAACTGATTTTGATAAAGCATATTGAGTTGTATTGATAAAACTTCAGCACCTAAAATAAATAGGGCTGGAGATAAAGGATCCCCTTGTTTAAGTCCTCTAGTTGAATGAAAAAACCATGTCTTTTACCACTAATGACTATGGAGTACCAATTATTACTCATGATTCTCCATATTCTATCAATGAATAATTCCCCAAATCCTAATTTTCTCAATACTAGGCAAGTATAGGACCATGATACTCTATCATAAGCTTTTACCATATCCAACTTGATCACCACATTATTCCCCTTTTTAGGCGATTTGATGCCATAAATAATCTCTTGTGCCAACATAATATTTTCAGAAATACTCCTACCTTTACAAATCCAGATTGATTATCTGAAATAATATTAGGTAAAATAGGAGCCAATCTAGTACTCATAATCTTGGGAATAATCTTGTTAGTAAAGTTACTAAGACTAATAGGTCGAAAATCCTTTAGTTTAGTAGGATGATCAACTTTAGGCAGAAGAATCGAACATGCATGAGTCATGTATGTAGGCATATCATAGCCATTAAAAAAATGTACAGCAACAAGCAGATCATCCTTAATAATTTCAAAGCAGACTTGATAAAATTTGCCTCCAATACCATTTGGACCAGAAGCAGAATTAGGATTCATATGCATAACAACTCTTCTCAACTCCTCCAAAGTAGGTATCCTTTCTAACTCATAGTTTTTTCAGAAGTAACTATATTAGGAAGACATTGTAAAATATCCTCCCTTATTTTCTCTGTTTTACCAGTGAAAATGTTTTTATAATACTCACAAGCTTCTCTTGCTATATTGTCTTCCCCTTGAATTCATTCACCACTATCATCCATGTGAATATACATTTTTTTCCTTCTACCTCTCATTACTGCATGAAAATATTTAGTATTGACATCACCTTCTTTTAACCAATGAAGCTGAGTTTTTTGTTGAAGAACTGCATACTCAAGTTTCAGATATCTTATATATTGAGCATTAGCAGCATGCAACTTTTCTCTGTTTTCCTTACTGTTAGTTTGAAGACTCATTTCTTCAGCAGTCCTAACAACCGCTTCATATTGCTTAACCTTAACAAAGATATCACCATACTTATTATTTGACCAATTCCTTAGAGTAGATGTTAATCTCCTCTTTTTTTGTGCAAAATCCATATAGGATTGCCTACAACCTTTCTTTTTCAACACTTCTCAAAAGTTTGTAAAAAGGATTCATTCTCAGTCCAATAGTTGAGAAATTTAAAATATTTAATCACTGCTTCCTTACTATCACTCATTTCCATCAGTAGAGGGCAATGATCAGATCCTACTGATGGGAGATGAGTAATATTAGTCTGAGACATCCTTTCCAACCACTTATCATTAACCAAACCCCTGTCTAGTCTCTTCCAAATTCTAGCCTTTTCCTTCCTGTGATTACACAAAGTATAAGGCTGCCCATTATTACCCCATATCCACTAAGCCACAAGATTCTATAATGTTGATAAATTCAAAGCTTTTAATAATGTTGTACTCTTTACCACCCAACTTTTCTTGAGTAGATGACATCACATTAAAATCACCAATAATACACCAAGGCTGAACAGTTTCAGACAACTTAAACATGTTGTCCCATAAAGGTCTCCTTAAATGATCCTTACATTTAGCATAAACATATGTTATAATAAATTTGTCACTACAATCATCATGTGTAACTTCACAAGTGATCTGCTGTTCATTCATATCCACCACATTACACTTCACCTCACTAGACCAAAGAACCCAAATTTTTGTTGTTAGGATTACTATGACCCTTGTCCATAAGTAGCTTTATTCTACAAGACACCAATTGAGATTGGTTAGCAAAAGGTTCCAAAATAGCAATCATAGATAGATTATGAAGTTTTCTAAGATTTATTAGTCTTTCAAGAGCACCAAGAGTGTTAATGCTCCTAGCATTCCAACAAATACTTTTAATCATTATAAACCTCTACTCCTACCTCTAGTATTTGGTTTACTAGTACTAGTATTTTTATTTTGCCTCGAATTTTTTCTCCCCCTTGGTGATAGCCCTTGCTTCCCAGCCACCTCTCTAACCTCCTCTACATTAGAACTGTGAAGCATAGGGCCTTGTTGATGATGGTGTTTAGTACTTATTTCCTCCCCTATTTCTATACCTTCATCTAATGATTGAGCATCTGCATCATACTCATCTTCAAAATCTGGTGCCCCATATTTATCAAAATAATCATCATTTTGATGAATTGTACAGTCTTGTTTTGTATCAGTTTGAGTTTTATTCTTTTTGCCTTTCTTAATATTTAACTGATGAAGTTTATCAACATTGATTTTATCAGGAGGTTCCCT